CTATAGTTCATATAGTACATAGGAGTACATACATATAGTACCTATAGTTCATATAGTACATATGTAATAAAGTGCACCAGGTTTTTTTGCAGTAAATCTTCTGGATAGAATTAGGCATACCCATTATTATAAAATAATTAAATAAATAAATAAATAAAATAATAATAATAATAAAATAGCACAAATAACCCCAACCCTGTCCAGGATAAGCAGATTCAAGACTGATGGGTGAATAAATGAGACAAAAATAACATTACACCCATAGAGGAAAATTCTGAGAGGTTCATGCTGTATGCACCTTTCTAAGTAAAATGTGCCATTTATATATAGACTATGTCCACCTGCGTTACATTTCTTAACTGATTGCAGCCTTTTCCCCACATACCTACTGTATACTGTCATGCATGTAATGCATGGGTGTATGTTATGCTTTGTCATACATTATTTCTGCTGTTGCATTTTGCATGGCCAGTTAAATGCCTGTGACTTCCCAGTACACAAGTGTAGTAAAACTACAGTAAATTCTTCAGAGACCTTTAATGAATTCTATGAGCAGCCAAAATGTAATTAGTTTTGACGATCTCATTGCAGCGTCAGTAATGGCTGTCAAAACTGGCCATCTCATAATATGACAAATAAGGTATTAAAATAATATCAGTTTTATTCAGTGGAGCTAGTAGTAATTTTTAATCCAAAGTAAACTCCCTGTTTCACTCATGAACGACTTCGAGACTTATGGCAATTTTCAGTTGCTGGCATCTGTACAGATCGCAAAGAAAAAACATTTTAAACCTAGTTTGAAATATAGTCATAACTGATGTTAAATATGCCATGCAAAGTTCTGACAACCGCGTTGACTCAGAGACAAGTCAAAAACGCGAGTTGTTTCTCTGTGGTTCCTGTGGTCCAGGTCATCAACCAGACGTCCAGGATAGAGATCCAGCTGTTGGAAAACACGCTGTCGACAAACAAGCTAGAGAAGGAGCTGCTAATACAGGTCACGGAGATTTCCAAACTTCAGGACAAAAACAGGTAGCATAAAGATTTAAATATGTTGGCAAGTGCAATCTGGTTTTCAAATCTCGTATTTATTTGCAAGGTGGCTTTTTTTGTGTCGTTACAACCACATGTGTTAATACTTAAGTTTCTCCTGACAAAAGATTACTACATGAAATCCTCTAGTGTTTCTTTTATTGTATAGGGAGCGATGTGTCAAAACGGAATCAGAATATCCTTCCAAACATCTCGAATACATCTGCAATGCAATTGCAAATAAATGATATTGTAACGAACGCAATCACTGTAGTGTATTATATTACTCACAATTTAATCCTTTTTGTACTCCAAGCATGCTAAAGATTCCCTTTAAACTTACACAACAATGACATCATTAGAAAAAAATGTTGATAAATGGTTTTCAAATGTTTTCAATTGTTAAAAATGCAGAAATGAACATATGAATTTTGCAGCCAATGTTTAATCTTGGAGATTCAGCTCTCAGATTTTGATAAGGATCACTGTCATCCTGTTCTACTAACATTTACAATAAAATCTACAAATATTTTACACGTCTGTGTTGGCTAATGCGTTGGTGACAGATTATATTGGATATGGGAATGCGAAAGCGTGACTTCTGCATGTTTTTACGCAAAATCAGACTTCTGGAGAACAAGGTGCGCATTCTGGAGTCACAGCAGAAGACGGAGATGGACCGGCAGCGGGAGGAGAAGCAGAGGCTGCAGAGCGTGGTGCTGCGTCAGGCGACGGCCATCGAGGCCCTGGAGAGGCAGCTGCACGTTGCCAGCAGCAACAACTCCGCCCTGCAGAGGCAGCAGCAGCAGCTTATGGACTCGGTGCACAGACTCATGAGCCTGTTATCCGTGGGATCAGGTAGCTTAGCCAGAAGGTTCTTGGTTGAGATCCGGGGGAGGATACTTCTCTATTTTCCTTTGACGTGGTACTTAATGAAATTGCTCTGGGAAATATGGCACCAGTGAAAAGTCTGGGCATTTCTATTTATAATGCATTTGTTTCTATTTTAGCTGTTATTCAATTTATAGTAAAAGGTCTAGAGGCAATGAAATAGTACAATTCACATACTGCAATGACCAACGTAAGTATTCAACATCTGAATTTTTTTTTACGTTTTCAGCTCTTCAAAAGAGCCCCCCCTGCCTTTGATGACAGCATTGCAGACTCATGTGATTCTTTCAACCAGCTTCCAGATGTAGCCACCTGGAATGCTTCTCCCACAGTCCTGAAGGGGTTTCCATGAGGTCTGGGCACAAGATGGCACATTCATCTTACTCTTCAATCTAACTCATTCCAAACCACCTCTATAGGGTGTATAGGCGGATGGGGGGGCGGGGGGGGGCAGGTCATCTGTTGTAGCACTCCATCTCATTCCTTGTTCACAAGATAATACGGTGCTTAGATACCCTCTAGGTGTGCTTAGGGTAGTTATGATGTGAAAAAACAAATGATTTTCAGTAGGTGTGTCCAGACTTTTCACTGGAACTGTATACGGTCCGGTGGTTAAGTGGGTAGCACTATTGCCTCTCACCTCTAGTATTGTGGCTTTGCATCCTGTCCCTGGCTCTGTCACTATGCAGTTTGCATGTTCTGCCCACATGCATGTGGGTTTTCTGTTGCCTTTAAGTTGCCCGCTGTGTGCGTGTGAGTCCTGTGATGGGATGACGTCCTATCCAGCGCGTTCCCCCGCCCGCTGTGAGCGTGTGAGTCCTGTGATGACGTCCTATCCAGCGCGTTC